GGCAAAGAAAAGGAAACTGATACTTTGCCAGCACAGTGGAGTCAAAGGTTCATTTTGAGGAAAGGAGTGATGGCAACAGTTTGCAAGGAGACAGAGAGAGTCCTGGAAGAGAGTGAACTGTGAGAGTGAACATAGGGACCAGGAAGGAAAGTCGAGTGGATAGCAGTTTTGGTACGCCCTGACAACGGTTGTAACAGAGATCCATAGCACAGAAAAAGGCCCTACAGTCCATTGTGTCAAAAACAACCACCGAACCATTCTCGTCCCATTTTCCAGCACTTGGTCCATAGCCTGTGTGTCCTGGTGTCGCAGGTGCACCTCTAAATGCTTTGTATACTCGTAAATACTAACAGAGACAAGAGAGACGGAAGAGGACGGTTCACTATAGAAAGTGGCAACAAGAAGAATGAGTCGGGCAGGAGTGGGTAGGGAAAATTGCAACAATGCAGCTAAAACTAGCCCACTTTAGCAGGTCTTTGCAAAGCTAACTCACCATGCTTTTCAACTTCCCCGTGATGGGGTTATGGCAGTCATGAGCCAACCATCCACCAGGGCCAGGACTCATTCATGCCGAGGGCTTACTGTGAGGAAGAACCAAACCTGGTTGGAGGCAGTGCTTTGCTGGAAGTCACAGGGTAGGCATCAATAAACTGGCATGGGAATCAACGTGTTACTGAAGTCAATGAGACTGGTAGTTTGGCTCATGTGATTTTAAGCTGGAATGAAGCTATACTTGACACAGAAGGCCTGCAAATTGATCTTTTTATTGATTGGGCTTTCAGAATCATGATAATTAATTTTAAAAGGTTTATATGTATGCAATCCAAGCATGCTAGTGCACTCTCTAACCCTAGCTTGAACACTGCACTGCTTGTGTCCATTCTCGAGTTTCCACACACCCACAGGGCCTGTAAAAAGAATGACTTGCATTATTTGTACACTTTGCCTTAAATGCACCAAACATGTGTTTCTTCTGCTTTGTAGTAAGAGGAGCTGAAATGCAGGCTCAAGAAAGAGTTTATTAGGTTTTGTTTTTCCTGTTGACATGGCAAGGGAATTCTATAAAGCAAGCCTGAAGCTATGCCATCAGTGGGAATAGTGGAGGATGGAAAGTATGGAAACTGGAATCATGGGTATCTGATACCATTGCACTAAATTCACCAGGCACTTTTTCCATTTCTTTTATATGCTTCCTATAATAAAGTGACTAAATCTGTGGACAATATTTCACAAGTTGCCTACTGTTTTATATAAGTTCGACATCACATGTCCATTTTTATATTGGGCTTCTAAACAGGGAAATGAAAGATTCAAGTTAAAGTTTCTTTTAAAGTTGCCACATCTACTCAAGGTGTCACCTTTAATGGCTTGTTAATTTGCATACTGAGGTCTCTCAGCTCTACTACTTTGAAATGAAGGTGTGCTTTCTTTCCCGAAGTTAAAAAGTGATTTGCTCTACATTGAACTGCATTGAAATGACTGCTACGTTCTACCACAGATTTTCACAGCCTAGGTCAGACTTTGCCATATTCAATTTGATAGTGCCATTAAATTTTGATATTTCTTCTCTAATCTAGATCATTTAAAGTAAGAAGACCTAACGCAAAGCAGGTCAAAACGTTCTAATTCAGCAGAAACTTCCCTCTTCTCTTAGGCTTTGATTTCTATCCTCCAACCAGCTCCCTCTCCAGACAGCATACACTATAAGGCAGAGCAGCGGATGTAGACCATTCAGCCCGTTGAGTCTGCTGCATGAATGGGATTATAGCTGATCTGATAAACCTCAACTCCACTTTCCTGCCTTATGCCCTCAATGCTCTTACAGATTAAAACTCTATCTCAGCCATGAAGGGCCAGCCTTTGCAGGAAAGAATTTCACAGATTCAGTACCTCCAGAGAAGCAATCCTTCCTAAACTCTCTCATGAATGGGCGACCCCTTACTCTGAGATTGTGCACTTTGGTCCCCACAAGGGAAATTCTTGTGCCATTATTTCTGTCATAAGTTAATTAAAAGTATTAATTTTACAAAGCTGTATCTGGAAACATCATTCATTTCACCCTGGTATCTGGCCAACATTTATCCACCACATCAAGTGATGTCATTAAACAGATAATCTGGTCATTCATTTCATTCCTGTTTGTGGTATCTTGCTTTGCAGAAATTGGCTGCTGTTTTTCACATCTCACAACAGTGGCTTCACAAACTATTTAATTTAACTATTTAATTAAACTATTTAATTTAACTTGGCTTTGCCAAGTTGTGAAGGTGTATCAGGCATGTTATGAATGCAAATTCCCTTTATTTAATCTGATAAAAGGCCAGGGTTTAGATTAAATTCAAAAAAGGTCCAATTATTGCATAAACATTAACAGGAGGCTAACTATTCTTCAGTGCATGTATAGGTCAATGAGGCCCTATTTTCATTGACTGCAGAAGCTCATCTGAAACCTGAAGAAAATATGAACTCAATTTCTTGATTTTTTTTCCATGAAGTGGGAAAGGTTTTGCATGTGTAACAGTGATAAATTAAATGCTGTCTTATAAAAACAGCAGGTCAGAGGGAATGAAACCCTGAATTTGTTTTCCAAACACTTTTATTTATCAAATACTAAATGAGCCACATGAAATTTCTGTGACTTTGAAATGGCTGACGATAGGATGGGTTAGAAGTGAGAAATCAGTTTAGTTTAATGTTGGGAATTTACACATTTCTTGTAACCGAAGAAAGCAAATTTGCATATCAATTAAACAAAGTTTGTGTTGGCAATCTTTTGCAGATCAGATAACCCAGATTCCCCTTCTGGGATTCTGGTTGTAATGCAATGTGTCTACTTAGCTCCAAGCACCAGTAATTAAATATCAAATATATGTGGAATGGTAGTTTAATCAGGTTTCCTACATCTAGGTTTTAAGGTTGATTACAAGTAGAAAGAAATGGGATTTCACCTAACAGTTTGTTCTGCCCCATACACCAAATTTTCACATGCAAAATTCCTGAGTGACCTACTAGGGAAGAGTACATGAAGTGGTTTCACATTGCCTTCCTCATGGGATTTCATCTTTGGACTACTTTTTTTTTTAGAAGCTTGACTGCAAGCAAGGCTAAAGAACCCCACCAAAATTTCACAATGGGCAAGGCTGGTCCACAGTCCAATGGGTGTCATTGAACTTCAACCCAGCATTTGTTTCCACTTCTCTCAAAACCCACGTTACGTTTCACTAAATCCTGATAAAATTTCTAACAAGTACCTAACCATATAAGCATTTGTTAGTGTTTAAAAGTGCATGGGGCAGGGGGGTGGAGTCTGATGTTAAAGCAAAAAAAAAAAAAAACTTTTTTCCACTTGGATCTGCCTCGTCTTTCCCAGGATTGAACATTTCATAAACACATGTACTCAATTAGTCTCACTCAAGCAACCAACATTTTTACATTACCTTCTGGAGCCTATCTCTACAGGATTGTCACACAGTAGATTGTATTAATGATGCTTTAGAGCCCACTAATTTGTCTGTATTCACTGCATCCATGGCAATTCAATGTGGAAATTCAGGAAAATCTCCCCAATGTATTAGGTTCTTCTAAATTCAGTCATGGTAAATTAGAGGACAACAGAAGGTCAGTGTTAAACTGAAAAATAAACAAAATACATTACTCTATTTGGGAGATTCCTGGTAATGACTAGGAGGGTAGTATATCCTGTGTTCTCATGTCAGCAACAGACCAGTTGCAAGGAGATGTGCTAATCACCTTGCCATCACCACACGCCCAAATGGCCAGATGATGCTTATTTGAAACCACTCATTAGGAATCTCACTGGCAAAGTTTAGACACATTCCCAATAATGAATAATACAGAGGAGGAGCAGTACAAGTATTCTCCAGGGAGTGGCAGGGTGAAAGAAAAGGAGGTGTTTGGGGTCAGAAAAGAGGGAGCAGGCTCAAATTTACTCCCAGGTAATCAGGGATACCAATAGTCATCATCTCTAGCATCCCTTCAACACAGCAATGTGAACTCTCTGCAATGGTATTGCTTCTGACATCCCTTTGTACTAAAATACTCGTTAAAGGATGACATAATGCCAACTAGAGGATGCAGATTAAATTACCTTTCCTCCCATGCCCAAATTCTCAGATACCAATCACAAATGCAAACTACAGTCAAAAGACTATCTTGTAAATGTTCTGCTGCAAAATTAAAAGTAAAATTATTACTTAGCTGTTCCTAAATAGGTAAATGGTAGCGGATAGCAAGGATAATTTTTGCACATACACAACATGAACAGTCTACAGACTGGCAACACCCAAATGCGTACACTTCACTCTCCCGTTCTGCTCTTGTAAGGGCTGATCATGAACCCAGCATGTTACCAACAGTGACACACTCCCGAGTGAGGAGCACAGACACACAACGTATTGTACTGAATGTAGCACAGGCACGAGTTTTAACCCACAAATCCCAGAGAGTTCATACAGCCAGTCTGCTTTCTGTAACTGCACACCTCTTTTCATTTTAAAAAAAAAGAAACTGCAGATTATTTTTCCCACCCGCTTGTAATAAATATTTGCTGCGTCTTCCAACTTATAAAACTACGAGGGCACGATGGCCATGTACTGTCGCAGTAAGACCAAAACATGACTGAAAAAAATTAAACCCATGCGAGGGTGTTACCTGTGACAGTTTCCCAGGCCCCGCGGTTTGCAAAAAAAGTGGATGAGAGGAATGCCCCCTGAAGACAGGGATGCTTTGACCTACACGTGAAAACTACTTGAAACAACCAGCACCAGAAAGAACTGCATTTGGAGACTAGGCTGACATTTAGCAGCGTGGGAGTTGAACGGGACACTGTTGGTGTGCGGATAGCACACTACTTTCCGCAGCCTCGGCTCAATCCCTGAAAATAACGATAAACGGTTTGCATTTTTGCTGCTGCACTCACCAGGCGAGGGTTTTTACTGCAGCGTCCTGGGCTGGCGTTACAGATGCGAGCAGGTACTCACCTGAAGCCAGTCTGCTCTCTCCCGGTCACTGGGACCCGAGTAGCGTTTGACAGCTCGCCCCGGCCGTCCTGATTGACAGCCGGTTGCTCTGGAACCCGCCGCCCCAATTGGCTAGCCTGGACGTCAATCAAGGGCGAGGTAGCCTATCGGGCCGGAGGATTGCGGCGGGTGGGCGGGGCGGCTCCCACCCAGCCTGCTGCAGTCGCTGCGTCAAACGGGACGGCCACTGCATTGGAAGCTACGAGTGCAACGGGATGGGCACTGCAGAGATAGGCAGGTAGAGTTTACAGAAATATACACACACCACACACAGATCTCCAACACCCTTGCAGCAGCATCTTGGCCCTCCCTGAAAGTCAATTGCAGCGAGGAGACTGACACGCTGCAAACCCGCAGCTTGGAGAAGCGGGGCTGCAAAGGTGCAGGCGACACCGTAATTCCCCGAATATTAAAATTGCATCGCACCCTTTTCGCCTGCGCCCGGATTGCGTCAATGACATTGCAGAGAACTTGCAGGCAGACCCCTAGGAGGAGTCCATCCTCCTCCCCCTGATGCACAGAGTGGGAGGGGCAGCAATCCATCTCAGGAGAAACATTAACAAAAAAGTGATTGACCTTAGCAAGGGAAACCTGCCCAATTTGGGAGCGGCTGCCACAGGAGGACTGGAGATCCTAACAAACCTCCCTTAGCTCTGGTACTCTGCACAGGTACCAACACGGAACTGTTGAGCCGCTGGGAGGGGGCAGTCAGATGGAAGTGGCATTATGAACTCGCTGACTCAATACATTGGGAGATGTGGATTTATTTATAAAACCACAGGACGTGGCGAACAAAAAGCTCGTGTTAAAGCATGCAGTCATCTCTATCATAACCCGGGCAACCTAGCAATTGTATCACAGCAACATGTTGCTCGGAGCAACATCAGAAATGGACAGCAAGCCCCCTACCCTTCCACGCTTCTGGAAATAGCACAGGCACGAGTTTTAACCCACAAATCCCAGAGAGTTCATGCAGCCAGTCTGCTTTCTGTAACTGCACTAACCGATTGGCAAGATTAATAACAGAGATTCAGAGCAATGGGATACAGGTGTAAATTGACTGCTCAGTATTTATTCTCAGGATGTGAGCATCACTACCAATGCTGGCATTTGTTTCCAATCCTCACTTGCCCCGAGATGATTCTGAACTGTTCACCTTGAATTATTTGATACACCTGAGTGCTGTGCTAAATCCGAGGGCGGTGAAAGCACGAGTTGTTGGATTGGTGACGTGAAAAAAAAGCAGAACAGGTGAGGATGGCATTTCCTTTCTCTAAAGGAGCTTTGGTAAACCATTTGGCTTCATAGTCACATTTTACAGAGCAGAGCTGTGATTTGCCCCCTTTCTGTGGTGGAGAGGCTTGTTTGTGTGTCCTGATGGTGGTAGCTGCTATTAGTATTTTACAAATGTAATTCAAATTCATAAATTACCACAGCAGCATTTGAGCAACAACAGAGTGCTGGAGAAACTCAACAGGTCTGGCAGCATCTGTAAACAGAATTAACATTTTGTCTGACCCTCACTGGACGAGAAATGTTAACTCTATTTAATTTTTTGTACAGATGATGCTAGACCTGCTGAGTTTCTCCAGCAGTTCATGTTTTTGTTTCAGATTTCCAGTGTGCGCAGTTCTTTGTTTCAATTGCAGCAGAATTTGGATTCACATTCTCTTGATTACCAGCTCAGTAAAATAACCACTGCCCTGCCATACCCTAAATTAAAACATGTTGTATCCTAGCAACTTATAGTCACAAATTAACTAGAACAGCACCTAAATATAGACTAGAACCACTTAGCTACCTTGCCATAGCAACAGACCTGGGAGATGGCTCCATATGGGGACCCCATCCAGTAATATCTCCTTGCAGCTATTCTGTTTCTGTGTGTTTGGGAGGATACCTGATCTTGGAGAACATTATGCCAGACCTGTAGTAAATGATAACTATCCTATGAACCTATGCACCTCCAACAGGGTTAGAGTGGGATATCACCTGAAATAAAAACAGAAAGTGGCAGAAATGCATGAATTTGAAAAGGCAGGTTAAAGGTTTACGTTATGAGACCATTCTTCAAAATGCAATCACATAGATTTGCTTTGGGTGGTTGATGGGGGGGTTAAACTAATTTGGTGGGGTATGGCAAACAGAGGTACAGTAAGGGGTGAAGCACAGATAGAGAAAAAGAACAAAGTCTGTCAGAAAAGCAGTGCAAAATGCAGTTAAGTTTGGGTACATTGAGTCATACAGGAAAGAAACAGACCCTTTGGTCCAACCAGTCCATGCCAAACATAATCCCAAACTAAACTAGTCACACCTGTCTGTGCTTGACCCATAAGACAAGGCAAAGGCATTTTAACACAGGGAGTCTTGCAAATAAGGCAGGTGAGTTGAGGGTATTGGTTAATGCTTGGGAATGCAATATCATTGCTATCACAGAGACACGGCTGATGGATGGGCAGGACTGGCAGCTCAACATTCTGGGATGTAGGATCTTTTGGCAAGGTGGGGAGCGGGGAGCCAGGTGTAAAAGAGGCGCCCTTGAGATCATTGAGGACTTGCTTTTCATTGCAGATTCAGATTTTCAGAATGGGCTGTCCCATAAGTACTGACAGCTTCTCTTTCCTTGATCAGATCTCTCCATCCGTAGGCCAGAGAAGGACTGATCCTTGAGTACTTAGGCCATTAATGCTGTTTGTGCCAGTAAAAAAGCTACAGATACAATTCACTTCAGTGAGGTGTTGTGGGTGCTCCGTTATATCTCTGACTTTGTTGGTAAGCTGGGTCCTTTTATTGTGAATTTGGATCATTTCACCAGACACAGAAAGTCTTGTCCTTGTGGTCAATCTCCTCTTCATTGGTCTCCTCTTCATCCTGACTCATGTATCTGGGAAGAAAATCCAAGTGCATCTTTGAAGAACACAAGAACCAGGAGCAAGAGTAGGCCATCTGACCCTTCGATCCTGCTCCCCCATCCAATAATATCATGGCTGATCTTTTCATGGCCTCAGTACCACTTACACACCCTCTCACCATAACTCTTAATTCCTTTACTGTTCAAAAAATTATCTATCTTAGCTTTAAAAACATTCAATGAGGAAGCCTCAACTGCTTCACTGGGCAGGGAATTCCACAGATTAACAACCCTCTGGGTGAAGAAGTTCCTCCTCAATTCAGTCCTAAACCTGGTCCCCCCCACTAAATTTGAGGCTATGCCCTCTTGGTCAAGATTCAACCGACACTGGAAACAACCTCCCTGCCCCTATCTTATCAATTACCTTCATAAGTTTATATGTGCCTATAAGATCCCCCCCAAATTCTTCTAAATTCCAATGAATATAATCCCAATCTATGTGGCTCTCCTCATCAGCTAACCCTCTCATCTCTGGAACCAACCTAGTGAATCTCCTCTGCACCCCCTGCAGTGCCAGTACATCCTTTCTCAAGAGGCCAAAACTGCACGCAGTACTCCAGGTGTGGCCTCACCAGCACCCTATATAGCTGTAACATAACCTCCCTGCTTTTAAACTCAATCCCTTTAGCAATGAAGGACAAAATTCCATTTGCCTTCTTAATTACCTGTTGTATCTGCAAACCAACCTTCTGCGATTCATGCACAAAGACACCCAGGTCCCTCTACACAGCAGAATGCTGCAATTTTTTACCATTCAAATAATTGTCCCTTTTATTGTTATTCCTACCAAAATGGATGAGTTCACATTTATCAACATTATTCTCCATCGACCAGACCTTTGCCCACTCACTTAAACTATCTATATCCCTCTGCAAATTTTCTGAGTCCTGTGCACACTTTGCTGTATCACTCATCATAGTGTCATCCGCAAACACTACACATAGTCCCCAAGTCCAAATCATCTTTGCATATTGTAAACAGTTGCAGACCCAATACCGATCCCTGAGGCACACCACTAGTCACTGTCTGCCAACCAGAAAAGCACTGATTTTTCTCCACTCTTTGCTTCCTGCTGTTAACCAGTCCTCAATCCATTCTAATACATTGCCCATAATGCCTTGCACCTTTATCTTACAAAGCAGCCTTTTGTGCGGCACCTTGTCGAATGCCTTTTGGAAATCCAGATACACCACATCTGCTGGATCCCCATTGTCCATTGTGCTCATAGTGTCTTTGTAGAATTCCAGCTAATTAGTCGAGCATGACCTGCCTTTCATGAACCCATGCTGCGTCTGCTCAATGGGACAATTTCTATCTGGATGCCTTGCTATTTCTTCCTTGACGATAGATTCAAGCATTTTCCCCACTACGGAAGTTAACGGGCCTATAATTCCCCATCTTTTGTCCGGTTGGGTGGTTGATATCATATTTAAGGGCATCCTTAGCAATTCATGTCTTTTGGAAGTCCACCTTAACAGTATTGACCCTCCCTATTACATTATGAAAAAAAACTAAGTAAAATCTGTTAAACACAAATTGCCTTTGATGAATTCCTGCTGGCTTTCCTTAATTACTCCACATTGTTCCAAGTTACTGCTTATTTTGTCTGGGAGTATTCATTCTGAATGAATTTCCACCATCACATTTCGGATGATTCGTCTGTATTCGCTACATTTCTCTGCACATCCCTTTCCAAGCTTGCAATTATCAAGTTGTGTGGCAGCACTGCTGTTCCTATGGATGATTGAAAGATTATGGCCTCCTTTCTAAGGATGAATCAGTGTTGAAGCAGCTATGCTTGGGACATCAGTAACACCACGTAGCACAAATCATCTCATAAGATCACATGTATTAGTAATAGGAGTAGGTCGTTAGGCCTTTGGTGCATGTTCCACTAATTTCCACCATGATTTCTCTCAGTTTCCTTGGATATGTCACATCCAACCCTAACTCATCAACTTTAAGGATGGGCAACCTATTTAATCTGCCCTCTCTACCAATTATTACCCCATCCAGCATCTCTATTACCTTTTTCATAGAATCCCTACAGTGTGGAAACAGGCCCTTCGGCCCAAAAAGTCCACACTGACACTTGGAGCATCCCACCGAGACTCATTCCCTTTAACCCACCTAAGCTACATGTCC